ATATATACATACATACATACATATATATATTAGTCAACTTACTTAAGTTCTCTTTCGACGGAATATGAAGTCGATGTCTTTCCATAGAACCTCCAAATTACAACAACCGACGTTCCAACATCCAGAAAACAATCAAACTGAAAGAAACCGATAATTATTAGGTATCGTTTGAAAAGCTGCTCTTTGGCGTCGTAGGTTTTGGTTAAATTATGTAAACAAATAATCCTTCTACTTCTGTGTTACAATGATCTCGGATGGAACAAGTTAACTATTATTATTATTATTATTGCTTACCTGCAACATAATTCACCTTTATTCGAAATAACCACTCTCAAGTGAATCAAAACAACACCTTGTACAAGTCAAGAGAACATTTTATACCAGGCATGGAGCGAACTAAATTATAATGACGTTGTGACTTAAAAGTTGATCAAAAACCACTCATGCGTTTACTCTCATCCTGCTGATCTCTCCTCTTGCCCTCACCCAAAAATTGGTTATTTTATTACATTTTAGTTTATGCATACTGTATAATTATTGTTTAATTACTGTTAATTTGATTTACATTTCTAATTTTCATTTCTTTTCTTTTTTATATATCTCTAGAGAAATTAGTGCTGTGTTACTGAAATTGCTATCACTTTAAAGACAAAATAAATAAATAAGTATCGGCACTGTATTGTAGTGTAACACTTTGTAATAGGCCTACCTATCGCACTTTATAACAACCTGTAGTCACACTTTGTAATGACCTGTCGAACTTCGTAATAACCTTTGTGGTATATTGTAATAACTGTCTGTCTGAAAGTGCTGTCACTTTAAACACAGAATAAATAAATGAAATGAAATAAATAAATAAATATTATAAATAAATAAATAATATAAATAAATAAATATTATAAATAAAAAAAAAAGCAGATGAAATAAATAAATAAATAAATAAATAAATAAATAAATAAATAAATAAATAAATAAATAAATAAATAAATAAATAAATAAATAAATAAATAAATAAATAAATAAATAAATAAATAAATAAATAAAATTAATAAATAAGTAAATATATAAATACATAAATAAATAAGCAAGCAAAAAAAAAAATAATAAACAAACAAATAAATAAGTGTAGCACAATATAGTATTGAAGAACTTTGTAATATCGTCGCACTTTGGAACACCCTTCTCGCACTATGTAATAACTTGTCGAACTTTCTAATAACCTGTCGAACTGTGTAATAACCTTTGTCGCATATTGTAATAAATGTCAGTCACACACTGTGTGAGAAAAAAAGTTGTCGCACTTCGTAATAAATTTAAAGTACTTTGTTATAGTTTTATCTTGGTTATAAACACAATGTTGAGACGTTTACTGCGGATGCGTAATTTTATAAGGTTAAAGGCTACATGTGGCATAGTTTCGGGTAGGAAGAAAAGTTGGGAGGGAGGAGGGAAGCAGATTGCAACGGGAAGGGAGAGGCGGGGTGTAGGGGAATTATAACGGTCTAGCATATAATGTTTTAAGCAAACTTCACTGAGCTACAGCTCTAGTCAGCCCGACTAAATAGTGAAGTGACGTTTAATAATTATGGTAGGGCTAATAGAAATTTATCGCCACAATAATGCTTTTATGCAGCCATGTTTTCAGAGCACCATGTATTCAACAGATAATTAATGGTGAAGTTACTTAAAATCAATATATTTACGGATTATTAGATTCTAAAATCGATTATACGCCCTTGGAATACCCAAATTTACTACTGATGAGACTTCGCCGGGACTCATGGGCTAGAAGACAATTAAATGCTGCGTTGCTGTGAACTTAACATTATGGATTATGAGAACGCGTCGGTTTAGAGGTGCTTGCACCTGTTGACACGCTCTTCTACTGGATTTTTTTTTATGTTTCTTTATGAATTCAGTGGCAATTCAAATAAAATGAAAAATAAAATGAAAAGTCAATCCAATAATGTTGGCCTATGTTAGCATTTTTAATTCCTTAACCATGACTGGAGGGGGTTTTTTTTCGTAAGACCTGTCATTTGGGAATCAATTATTCGAAACCCCTCCCCGCGGCCCCCCTCCCCCTTTTTTTGTATCATCACTGCTGGTCTACTCCACTCATCTCTCCACCAAATCCCCCCTTTACCATAACGTATGGTTCTGCACTTTTAATCTACCATTATATTTCGTTGCTGTTAGTAACAACCAGCAGCATTAACATAATTGCAAACTATTGAGAATTATTTGAACATTATTTAACGCACAAACAATTTACATTCCTTTAACAAATCACAGCTTGTAACTATTATGAATATTAGTTAATTTTTATTTTAGTAATTATATTCTGCCTGTGTAAAGACCAATTCAGACAGCGTCGCGACCAACCATCACAGGAATGAGTGTTTCAACACCATTGGATTGGCTACGAGCTCTCAAAGTATGACATATTCGTCAACTCAACGTTAGTGTGAATTGGTTTTAAGCCGCACTTAAAAGCCGTTTAGATTGCTTTTTCAGTCGTATTACCGAGTTTCAAGATGAAATAATATAAACTTACCCCAAAGCCAAATGCAGCAGCACTATTTGTAATTGATGAAACATCTAAAAAAAAAAATCAAATAAATAAAATGACGATCAACAATAGCTTATGTAACTTGAACTACGAGAAAATGCTTAATGGTCAAAGTAATAGCAATAAAGACGCAATGGTGGTAGTGGTGGTGGCACCAGAACCAGAACTCCTGACGGGAAGAGTCCCCCTCCATCCACCCCTCCCTTAGTCGAAGAGCATCTGAATCTGAATTGAAAAGAGGACCCCAGAATATGAGTCAGTGTGCCACATCGACCTGCAAGCTATTTTAGGTGTTTATTTGTTTTATAACACTGAAGGGAAAATGCTATGAGATCCGGGGTTCAGTCACTGGGCCCTCGTCTCAGAGGCGTTCCCCCTACCCCGCCCACTTACGCTCCACATTATGTGAACTCATCGATAATAGAATTTTACCACTTTTTTATACTAACATTACGATGTGAACCACGCGATTTGAATGTGAATCGTTTGTAACATGAGGTGTATGCCTTACAATAAACATTGACCATCCGTGGTACTTACAAAAACTGAACGATCCAAGAGCTACCAAAGAGAACACCGAGATGTATGCTAGTGCAACGGCGGCCGTCTCCCACTTTCGTTGCTCCTCTGAGTTCGCTTGAACATCACCTTTGTCCCCAAATAGTTAAAAAAAAAAACAACTTAAATCCACTCATATAAATCCAGGTAAAAAGATGGTACATAACATATTATTATGAACATTTAAAATCGAACTTAAGGTGCATTCACACCGAATCCGAATTTTTGAACTTGAAGTTTCCTCTTAAACACGTTAACTTCTAACCAAAAAAATAGTTGCCGCTCGCTCATTTACAGACTTTCCCTACAAAAATCCTTAAATTGATTACCAGCGAATTTATAGGGTTTATGAAATGGAATACAGGAAAGGTATAACTTACCTTTCCGGTACTTAAAAAGGCGGAAATGTATTCTTATTCATTTTCTTTTTATTCTAGCTTAAATATACAAAAAATTATTTCATATGTGGTATTTATTGTTTAGCTCATGATAGACAATCGTTCATTAAATTAGTGTGTGGTTACTATTAACTAAAATATATTGCACATGACCAACTGTCTCCATTAATGTGTTATCGATAAAACGTAACAAAACATTACATGGTATGAAGGAAATATAAAAAGTAAATGCATAGCAGGAGCTTTTAAAAAATGTTTATGGTGCCAGCAGGAATAATTTTGAAATATAGGTCAATATGGGGGGGGGGGGGCTCTTAAGCACCAATCCCCTTGCATACGCCCTTTGCTAACGGTTTAAGCCGGGCACTCACTGCGCCCGACGGTCATCAACCGACACGCGCGCGCGCAACGGATAATTTTTAATGACGATCTATTAAGACTACGTTCAGACTTGGAGATAAGCCAGGCTCGAGTTAAGCCCGCCTTAACTTTGCCGGGCGTTCAGACTAGCGGGTTTAGCAAGGCGAGAATTACATGCATAATAATGAACCGTAACCAGGAAACGTGGTAACATTGCTCGCGAAACGTACGCTCGCTCACAGCGTACGTAATTGAATGCTGATTGGTCATTTCGTCACCCGAAGTCAAGGCAAGAACATAGCCCGGCTTGAGATAAGCCACCTAGTTCAGACTGGCAAGTGGATAAACCCGGTGAGTTGAGCCGGGTTTATCCACCTAGTCTGAACTAGGCCTCAGGCTGCCCCTGTCACCGACAATTAGCTGACGG